ATAAAAATCACCATTTCTCAAACTATCATAATCATTATAATATTTAAATATCTTTAAAATAGACAGTTTATCATCCATAATAAACATATTTAAATATTCACAAATAGATAAGTTTACTCTTAACTTGTAATACCACAATGGATGGTTCACTCTAGACTGTGTTAGAAATTTAAAATAAAATTAAAACTTTTCTTCATCTACATTAGTAAAATTTCATGAAAACAGGGAAACTCGATTCTTATCTATTCTAAAAATATTTGATATGTGAGCCCACTTTATTTCCAATATTATCCATCAAAACAAACTTCATTTTCACATGTTTCCTAATCGTGGATTTGAAGCTGAAAAGTTGGTCCCTTTGATTCGAAGAGGGACAGTGAAAATGATAATTTTGGGCACCATCAAGCTACGAAATAGGAAAATCTATAAATTTAATTATAATTATAAATATGGAGGTAGGGTAATCCTCTATATATTAATAGAGGAGACACTAGGTGAAAAATCATATTTATCATCAAAAGAATATTTTAAAGAACTTCTTTCCTAATAAAAATTATTAAAAATCTTAATGATAAATATATGAAAATAACGAATAAGTGGTAACTAATATACGTAATTTTATTAAAAGAATATAGAAAATATTTGAAAATATTTTTTTTTTCAATAACTACTAGATATTTAGATCCGAGTCAAACGCGGGATTAGATAATTCAAAAACAAAATTTATGATTATTTTTAAGGGACAATTACAAGAATGTCACTTTTTGTGTGCATATTTGCAAGAATGCCACTTAGGACTGTCCATTTACAGTCATTAATTATAGATTTATAAAGCCTATATCTTAAAGTTCTAAACCCTAAAAATATTTTGACACCTAAAACCCCTAAACACTCAAAACTAAACCTTAATAGTACATAATTAACCCAAACATAAATAATATAAAAAAAAATTTTTTTGAAAAAGTGGCATTTTTTTAAAGATTTTAAAAATGTGGCATTTTTATAAAGATTTTAAAAATGTGGCATTTTTGTAAATTGGTATTTAAAAAGTGGTATTTTTTGAATTTTTTCTATTTTTAATAGATGGAAGAAATTAAAGATTAAAAATATAAAATACATTATGTTTGATCAAAATTTAACTGTATTACATTTATGAACGATGCATATAATTTTTGTATGCTATAAATATTAAATTTAATTAAAAATATATTTAATTATTCTGGACACATATATTAAATATATTAATTTTTTGT